CTTGTAAAACGTATCTCTTCTCGTAATTTTACCCCCTGGAACGGCGAACCGAAGGCATCAGGAGCCTGGGCCCCTCGTAAAGGGGGCTGATGTTCAGGAGTGACAGTGATCATTCACCATCAAAAGAACTGCATGTTCGTCTGCCTTCATATACAAGAAAACATAGCATTTCACTGTGTGTTCAAAACACCACACTTTGACGTGTCCGGTTCATTACGGGCATTCACATTGTGGTGTCTATGAGCTCTAGTAACCATTAATCATCAGTTGAGCTTTGTGTTCGTTAAACAATTTAAGCTAGTAACATGTTACGACCACGCTACATATAAGGTGCTCGCTACCTAAGACGTTTTTTTCTTATTACCATCCATTACGTTGAATTATCAGACTGTGAAATTGTAGGTAGGGAAAAAATGAATTGAGGCGAAAACACCTGGGACGAGGGACTAAAGCGACACGCAGAAAATTACTTATAAAGCGGTTATAGTTTTATATACTGTCTTTTTTAGAATGTACACATTATCGCGACTTTTTTTATGATCTGCGATTGCCATTTTATACTTAGTAAGTAAGTAACTAAGTAAGCTTAGTCACTTATAGAAACTCCGTGAGGTATATTTGATCTTGATTTAAATCTTAAAAAGTATGTTAATCAATTAAGGTGCTATCGTGGTAAATAATACCACTATCAAATTTCTCACCATCACTGTTTCAAGTGCCTAGTCTTATTACTTTTTTTTTTAGTACAAGTTTAAACGGATTTTTTCTTTATACATAAAATATTTTTGTCTGTAAAGATCTAACCACCTGATAAGCTCAGTTTTCCAAGTGAGTTTCGCCGAAATAGAAATGTTCCGAAGACCTATTTACAAAGAAAAGAAACTCATAAAACTTCTATCCAACTAAAGACGGATTTCAAATGATTCAGCGGAAAGTTCATGATCAACAACTGAAAAGGGCAGACGGAGTTCCGTGACTGGTCATTTTCCTCGCTTTCCTTTGTGAGATAACGTCGTCGGTCATTTCTTTTGAATAGAATGTTAGCCGTCGGTGCCAACGCTAGTAGCGGTCAGGTACTTAATACGTACACTTTGACACATTTTTGGACGATCTCCAGGCGCTTGTTCATATTTCCATATCTTGCAAATGGGATAGTAAACGCTTCATACGATAAGAAAGTGTTTAGAATGGCTTATAGATTCAACAGATTCTACCATATTGTGTATAATGGAGATTGAAGATGAAGATACTAAAATTTTATATCGTTTTGGCCTAAGCGATAAGACGCCCGGTGTACCTACTCATATCAAGCGATTCGACTATGTCGATTTTCATATCCCGCAGCCACCTGCATTGCACTAACTTTTCTCAGATAGTAGATACTTAACACGAGTTAATAACTTCTCTATCTACTTATATAAAAATATTACAACGATACCCACCAACGATTTTTCATCACCTAGTGTTCATATTTTTTTTAATTAGTAGGTGTGTACCTACTAACGCAGTCCACTGTAGAGGCCTACATTTTACGTAGAATTGCATATCAAGTCTTCACATATTTATTTAATGTTTTGTTAAACAATAGTTCTTGTAGTGTAATTTAGTGTTTTCCTAAATTACAGTAAGTTATAAATTATATTAAAATTTGAATCATCTAGTCGGTCAATATTAAGCCTTGGCCACGCATTAACGTCTAGATTCGGTTCTCCGTCGGAATTACCTTATATATCTGTACGTGTAGGTATAATTATTTCTTCTGTTCTGTAAATTTTTCGTATTCTGGTATACAGAGTATAAGAGAATATCCTAGATTGGAGACGTACCTATGTCGAACGTTGTTTGATTTCAAAATGTCTCCGCTTAGGTTTCATTTGAAATTGAACAGCCAAAAAATTTATAGCTTTACGTTTTAGCGCTTCCATTTGTCCTTTTTCTATCGGATTATGGACGATTCGTAGGTTTTTATTGCGGACGAAGGTTGCAGTCCAATATTTGCTATTCATTTGTAGGTCTTTTACGACATACGCTTTATTAATATTCAGAGCGTATAAAACGGTACTGTAGAAATAGACTTGTCGTTACGAAGCCTTGTAAATACTCATTAAATATTTATTGCCCTTCCTTACAGTCGGTCAACACTATAAATTAGCTGAGACTCGTTTGTATCTCCTTGAGACTGGCTGGAGTTTCGTTGAGGATTGAAATTACTTTAATCAATACTGACGGATAAGGAATTGCATACGAGACGTTGTTAATTAAAAAAATATCTAGTCAGGGACAGAGTGATTTCTCTTTCGATCTCATATTTCAATGTTTCTGAAGTTAATTATAATACTATTGGTCATCAGATCCAATAACTCTTGCTTTAGACGCCTTCAGCTCTAACACTAAGACCAGGCTTAGGGACTCTGGTAACCGTAGGTACTCGTCGAACTCGGCAAAGAGTTCGACGTGCAACTTAATCCATACATCAGCCCGGTGAGTTTCGAGTTTCGAGTTTCTCAGTGGGTCGCGATTCCGATCCGGTAGACATTCGCTAAGCATCTGCCCTTGAGCTGTTAGGTCTCTTTCAGAGGAGCTCAAGCAGCTATTAGCAAATCCCATCTCCTCCAGGCTGAGCCTTTGCTCACCCACATGTCCTGGTGAAACTAGAACGCTTCTGGGCCACCAGTAATACTACCTTCATAATAATAATAAAAAAAAGCAATTGGTTATATTTGTCTAAGAAAACACAAATGTTATAAGTGCTCACATACGACTTCCACGATGTAGTAGTAAGGCCGTGTAAAATCACAGTCTGGTTGTAAGACACATCGTAATCCCGCACGGGCATCTTGCCCTTTCCTGACGCAAAGCCTGGTAGTAGGGCGTATTGTAAGCCTGCATGGGCATGTACCACCTTTCCTGTCGCAAAGCTTTATGCATTCTGGTTTGAAGGATGGGAGAGCCGTTTTACAATCTTACTGACACTTGGACCTCTTGTCTCAAGATACGTGGCATATTTACGTTGAGACATTTGTGAAACAGCACATTTTTATCTTTTTAATATTGCTTAGATGGGTGGACGAGGTCACAGCCAACCTGGTGTTAAGTGGTTACTGGAGCCCATAGATATCTACAACGTAAATGCGCCACCCACCTTGAGATATAAGTTCTAGATCTCAGTATAGTTACAACGGCTGCCCTACCCTTCAAACTGAAACGCATTACTGCTTCACGGCAGAAATAGGCAGGGTGGTGGTACCTACCCGCGCGGAATCACAAGAGGTGCTACCACCAGTAAGTACCACATTTTGTTATTACATTTATTTAGAAAATATTTTCTATTTAAACAAAAATAACTACATATTCATTCGTGTGTATGCATGTTGGTCCTCGATGCATGCTTAAGACATTCACCTGTTTATCCTATATTTTGTTGATCCTCTGATTCTTAAGTCTAGTTTTTTTATTTGTTTTATTGCCTTATTAGGCAGACGAGCATACGGTCCACCTGATGGTGAGTGATAACCGTCGCCCATGGACTTCAGCAATGCCAAGCAGAGCCAAGCCGCTGCCTACCTAATTACCAGTTGCGGTTGTCTACTGCACCACTCTAAGGTTTCTGTTATAGCATCATTAATGTTACCAAGAATAAAAGTTTTCTCATATAATTCGTGATAGTCACCGCGTGACTGAATTTCAATAGTATATTACGCATCAGTAATACATATTAACATAAGCCTAGTAGAAAATAACTATGATGTCTGCCAATCAACAACCCTTAGCTATTCTACTTTGACTCTTTTAAAACTAAAATTTAAATTACCAGAAAACAATTTATTTATTTAAAAAAATTAAGAATACAACTTTTTTTAAATAAAAAACAACAATGTGAGCTACTTATTCCTTTATTATTAGTTATGCTACACATCGATCAATAATTATTTGATTTACTTAAATTAAACTGTAAATAGATTTCATAGGATTAATTTCAGTTCCTGGGTCCACGCTATTTGCTTCGGTGCTGATAAACTCCAGCGTCTTCACAATATTATCATCCGGCAAGTATTTTATCTCTTATCATCCCTTTTTTTAATATGATTATCCGAATTTAGAAGAATGGAATACTTCGATTAGCAATTTGGTCCTGGAACAACATTCCAAAAATTACATCTTCCTTATATTTCTTATATACTAAATGGGATTACATATACGGTCTCCTTGCATATACTAAGTAGATATTGCTAGCGTATTTGGTTAACACCATCCTGATTATTTCTACTATGCAGCAAACAGGCGTAGTTCGTACAATAGAAAATCGATTTATTATTAAAGATAGCGTTAAACATTCGATCACTATCTTTTTGAAGCAATTTCAATAAAATTTGATTTAAAAAAACGACAGCCCCCCAAGTATAGTAATCGGCACGAGTCGTGAGCTCTCGACAAAATAGTCGGGGGCCGTCAGCGCATCGTACACTTAGGGTAAAAATAAATGGTTCACTCATGTATTACCTTTTTTATAATTAAATTAACTTTGTACAATTTGGCATTTAAAAATGTGTTAGTAATTTTATAATAGTTTTGCCCGGGGTTTCGCTCGTATTATAGTCAGAAATAACCCCAAAAGATTATCAATTCATCCCGTTTTCTTTTTGTAGAACAGGTATGTTGTCGAGTTTTTAGCGCTAATTCGCTTTTCCCGTGTGGTAACGGATATGGAAGAAATACACGAATTTATATTATTAAGCTTTAAATTTTAGATGATTTTCATTGATGCCTCTGGTGCCAAGGAAACCGTTTGAATAATATAGCTAAACCTATTTCTAATTAATATATATATATATAAGAGAGTCTTATAAGAGCTTATAAGAGAATTTTACAGCTGTTTTAGTCAAGAACTATGGGATACGAGTATTGATCAATGTCCAAGATAAAAAAACAAAAACATACTATTACTAAAAAATTTAAAATAATATATACGTACGTATGGTACGTACGTAATATATACGTACGTACATTTATCCACAGTATATTTTATTCATGTGAAGTTGGTTCCTGGAAGATATAAATAAGGTTAATAAAAAATGTGTGGTTAATAAACGTAGATAATAACACTTAATATTTAAATTAATAAAATTGGACGAAAGTGTAGTTTGCTGCAGTGATGTCCGTGGAACATCAGCACAGGGAACCCATCACAAATGACGGCTTGTGACGCGACGCGGGGAGATCCAATCACGTAATCAACATGGACGGCGCCACCCCCGTTCTTGCCTCGTTCCCCCAAACAGACCCAAAAATGTACTTTATTTATTTATTTTTCATTGCTTAGATGCGTGAGCGAGCTCAGAGCCCACCTGGTGTTAAGTGGTTACTGGAGCCCATAGACATCTACAACGTAAATTCGCTACCCACCTTGAGATATAAGTTCTAAGATCTCGGTATAGTTATAGCGGCTGTCCTACCCTTCAAACCGAAACGCATTACTGCTTCACGGCAGAAACAGGCAGGGCGGTGGTACCCACCCGCGCGGACTCACAAGAGGTCCTACCACCAGTAAAAACTTCTGCGCATGTCAAGGTCAGTGCTCATGGCTCGTATGTAAGTATATATTGGTATAGTCTATGTTTAGATCACTGATGTACTCACAAATGACGTCACACGTAATGAAGTTGCGTTTACTGGAGTTTATTAAAGATTGCGTAACAACTTTTTAAAATCAGTGCTGACCTTTATTATATTCTAACTTAACAAATAGTAGTGGTCATTATTCAATCTTATGTACTACTAGTGAATTTCGGTATTATTTTCGCTAAAAGATAGAACGTAGGCCTGATCTATTGACGAATTATGATGTCATCCTTCACGGATAATGTTTTTCTCCAGGTTGTCTATGGGTTATGATATTGCTGCAAAATTTATTGAAGTGAAAACTTCTTTAGAATCGTTGTGATTTCAAACCGGATGCAACGAAAAAAACGACAGGTAAGAGACACAAATACAAAAATGTGTAGGATGAAGCCAGCAAAGAATGAGACAGAAATATACATACTATTTAATACAGCGCCATCTGTGAGATTTTTTAATACTAACGTGTGTATGAAAGCTCTTGTAGTGAATTTTAATTAAGGATTATACGTGAAATTAAAATATCAATTCACAGAGGGCGCTACCTTACAATTATTTACTAATGACAAAATTTTACATATACTTAAGACGTTTAGGATAATTGTATTTTAATTTTGGAAGGTTTCACTTCTACCACGTGTGAATTGCACACATTTTGTTTTTTTTTTGTATACTTCATAACCACGAGGCCAAATCTGTCTTTAAGTATGGTTTGATGTTGTACCTCGTTATTACAGTCGCCGACGTCCATGTTGTACAGTCTGGAATAATATGTTTCGCCCGATTCGTAATCTCCAATCTGCATTTGAGTGATCCTCAGTCTATCTAGTTTACTTTGTTTGGTTCTCGTCTTTCTCTCTTCGAACCGAACGATGTAATCTGCTTGATTTGTATAATCTTCGGGTCGCTCTAAATTATACGACTCGTGCACGGTTATGTCTGAAAAAAGTACGATAATTATTTTTATTATTCAATCGTGTTCGTTTTGTTTTGCTGTGACTAACTCCGGTTTCGGTCATTGGCCTTGGCGTCATAGTAACTTTGATAATATAGCGTATTCGAAATCCTTATGCCTCTACATTCGCAATAGATTAATAGACTATGACAAAAAACAGTAAACAAAAACTTAGAAGTGCAAACAAAAAAAAAATTGTATATTTCAACTGTATTTCATAGTCAACGCCAAAAAATCATGGCTAAATTATCCTAGCATACTTAAATACTTATTTATATATTATTTTACAAGAAATAATAACAAACAAAAAAATTTGATGTCACTCAAGGCTGACAAGCGGTCTGCTTTCTGATTTGCTGCCTAACGCTGATGTTAGTTTTCAAAACTTTTTTCATTTAAGTTACATTGTATTATCATTTGCGTTTTATATATTTGCGTTTTATATGAAGGTGGAGGAATTTCTAGTCCTTCATGCCAGAATGAGAGGCGACAATTTAGACCAACTGCTGATAACAGGCAAGCTATGCGGAAGAAAGCCAGACGCAGAAGTCCAATGCACAAGTCGAACCAGGTACGCTCTACCCTCAGCCTCAGCAAGTTAGTCTACGATGTAATTTACGCAGCCAAACATAAACACAGTTGAAATAAGATAGGCAGCGGCTTGGCTCTGTCCCTGGCATTGCTGTAGTCCATGGGCGACGGCAACAACCCACCTTCAGGTGGGCCGTACGCTCATCTGCCTATTAGAGCAATAAAAATAATAAAAAGTTAGTCCAATAAAATTTTGTTAAGAAACCAACGACCCTCATTATTGAGGATAATTGACGCAAGGAGGAGAGTATTGTTATTAATGAAACAACATAAATTATCATATTATCAACATTAGTCAAATGTGGATAACGAAGCATATCGGAGTCAGCTTAAGTAAAATACAATATTCGGAACTTCACTAATATGTAAGATATTACTGTGTTCCCAAAATGGATGTAAACTTGTAAGTTTATAAAAAATTAATCAATATCTCACCATGTCCAAGTACTTCTTTTACCATGAATGGATACAGCCATCCAACCAGTGGAGTCTGTCCTGAGATGTAATGGGTCTTTTTGTGATAGAATAGAAGACCATCTAGTGCTGGTATGTAATTTTCAAATGCTGGATATGTCATCATGAACCTTAAAAACAAACATTTTAATACTTATGTGAAATAAATTTCGTACCAACTTCACGATTCCTCACACTTTATTACTAAAAGATATTAATTTTTTACTATTTTATTACACGCAATGGAAGACAAATAAAATAAGTTGAGGAGCGGTATGAGTGATTTCGTGTAATGTGTATAAACTTACCAAAACAACATGTATACCTATTTTAGAGTTGAATCATTTCTTCTGTTTACATTGACGTCATAGTTCAGAACCGTTTCGTAATGGACCATATTTATTACACCCTATATTAAATTTTTTCGTATCCTACCCACAGAAGATATACATTTTTTGTAGCATGTTGAGTTTTTATTTGCAATCACGGGCATACGATCTCTATCGGGGATACTGTACTATTTTACTAAAAGACGTGACCGCCGTTTTCGACCCCGTTAGATTTTGCCGGGATTAAGAATTACTTCTCTCACCCTTATAATAATGTCATATTATAATAACGATTACAATAGACATTTGCTATGCGCATACGTTGCCATTGTATATGCATTCTGCATGGGATTTACGTCAATTCTTAAAAAGCTCCTAGTAAAAGGAGACTTGTTCTTTTTACTGGTGGTAAGACCTCTTCTGAATCCGCAAGGGTAGGTACCACCACCCCACCTATTTCTGTCGTGAAACAGTAATGCGTTTCGGTTTGAAGAGTGGGGCAGTCGTTGTAACTATACTGAGACCTTAGAACTCATATCTCAAGGGGGTGGCGGCATTTATGTTGTAGATGTCTATGGGCTCCAGTAACCATTTAACACCAGGTGGGCTGTAAGCTCGTCTACACATATAAGCAATAAAAAAAAACACATTATGTGTGGTCGGCGCACTATGTCGTTTTATCGTATGCAGTAGAGATTTGGAATGAGTTTTACGATCGACCGCCTGGCTGACGTGAACCCTCCTTGGGAATACTATCGTTGGCATAGGATGAGGCATGGGCAAATATGGTTCGGTCCAATTCTAAGCCAGAAGCAGCACATGCCTTTATTATTGTGTTTTATTTATTTAATTGTTATTGTGGACCGCAAAAAGAGTATCTGTCCCAAATTTAAATGCTAATGACAAACTAAACTTAAGTTTTATTCACAATCATTAACTGTAATTAGTTTTATTTATTGGATAGCAGAAAAGAGGCAAACAGTTATTTTTCCGAAAAAAATTGATTTTTTTAACTTTTGTTCTGAAGTTATAGAATATTTTATATAGTGTTTACATACAGCTGTGGCCCTATGATTTATACTCACTGGTTTAATTCTTCACGTGAACAAGGTACCTTGGGTAGTAAAAAAAATTTTAACTTATTGACCTTGCTAAGTACGTTCAGTCCCTGTATTATAAAAACTTGAGTTTGTAGCCAAAAATGTCGAAAATCAGTCTGAAATTAAACAATCATTAATGAGAAAATACAGTGATCATAGAATATAAATGTGATTATATTTTAAACAAACTTCGCCTATCAATAATTTCCACATGTGTATGTCTTATGTCTCTCTTTTACATTCAATTGTTATCATATAGACAATATTATTGTGTCGATTATATAATAATATGTATTTTAGATCATTTGTAATTTTGATTGGGTAACTACTGTGATTTCAGAAAATACAATAGTTGTTGCAATATTCGTGTTAAAGAATCCTGTCCGTGCCAACCTGAAATAGCCCCGACTAGGTAAAAAAAAAACTAAAAAATTTATTTCAAAATGTAACCCAGAAAATTTTTTTTTAGCAATATTATTATAATAATTTTTTTTATTTATTGTGATTTCTTAATTTGAAGTAGTTACTGGAAGATTTGAATTAAAAGTAATTTGTAGTGGTTTCCATAAAATACTCAAATACAGGTTGTTTAGTACCACTTTAAAAAAAACTGTTTATTAGAATTCAAAAGCTTGATTGAAAGTTTGACATGCTTGAAAATATTGAAAAACATGACAAGCTTACAACATAAACTCACCTCTCCATCAGTCATGGCCTGATTATTCCATGCCAGTAAATCAATAATGTAAACACTATTCGATAGAGAATCATAAAAACCATCTAGAACACAGCAATCAGTTTTCTGATATCCTTTATTAGGATGGCCACCCGGCAGCAGAGTTTTAGTATCTAATCTAAATCTTCCATACTTATTATATAATTTGGTTCTACCCTGAAAAATATCCATTGTTCTATTAATACACATAACATTTACAAATAATTAACTGAAATGAATCTTATTCCAATAAGTGATTACTAAATTTATGCATTAAAAAAAACAGTTATGTTTGAACAGACAAAAAGTTTTTTTATTAAATTTTCTTTCATCATATAAACTGAATAGCAAAGGAATTTATTATAATCAGTGCAAAAATTAATAAGTTAGAAATCACCTAAATTAAGTGATGAAGCAATTGTCCAATAAGGAACAGTTGTTAGAGGTTTTTTTATTGCATTTGTTGGGAGTAAAAACTCACTGTTTAGTTATTGTTGAATTGATTCTGAATCCCATAGAGTTAACGCTACCTATCATCCACTTTGAAGCATGAGGTGAAAGTCTCAATTTTATTGTCTAGAAGGTCCCACTATTCAAACAGGAACACACAATTTCTTTGCAGCAAAAATATAGATATTGGTACTTAATTGCTTACAGTTTTATTTTAATCTTTGATTTAAGTTTATTTTATTATTTTGAGCATTTGTGACTTTTATTTTGGTTGACACAAGTAATTTTTATAAATGATTTTATTTCACAGGTTCCTACATAACTTTTTTTTGTGTTCAAGGTAAAAAGTGCTCTGGTAATTTAAAGACCTATTGGCCGGATTTGAAAAGCACATAAATCTCCCTCTTGTGGTTATAGTTCTAGGAACTCGACAAATCGGTCAGACAACAGAAACTCACAGTATTCTAAGTTTTTCTGGACAATTTAAAAATGCATTGTTTCATACAAAATAAACTTAGTGGATTGTTGGAGCTGGATTTCAATCACTCAGTAGTCTGAAGCCAAGAAAGATGAAGTTTTTAAAGTTGAATATATGTATACTAATTAATAGTTTTTTTGACTATGCGTAAAAATTGGAATTGGAATTGGAGTAGCTAATGTGTATGCTAAAGATGCTTATTCAAATTTTCCATTAGGATTTAACAAAATCGATCGAATAAAAGTATTTGTAACATAGATTTTAATTTTATTTAATTTAATTTTAATGGTTTTTTTTGCCCTTGTAGGCAGACGAGCATACGGCCCACCTGATGGTGAATGGTTACCGTCGTCCATGGACTTGAGCAATGCCAGGAGCAGAGCCAAGATGCTGCCTACCGAAACACAGATTACATTTTTTTTTAAGTTTTTAGTAGTCAGATATAATACTTACATTGTTAGCAACAATCAATACTCTACTACCTTTTGGACATGGTACAACATACCAATTCTGAGCAAAATCAGAGGGTTTTTCTACCATCCATTCAGAAATCATCAATACATTATAGTATGATGATGGGGCTTTAACAAAGCCTGCAACATATATATTCGGTCTATAGTAAGTCTGAAATAAGTAAATAATTTTAATTACTTGAGATCTTAATTAATTAGTCATTATATTCTGGCTATTTCTATCATTATCATCAGCCCACAGTTGTCCACTAGTGGACATTGAGAGAGCTCAATTTACACACCACAAAATCTATTAAATAGTATCATTTTATCTATACTTTGTTGTATACATTCAAATTATTGTTATATCTGTGGTTTCAAATCAGTGTTCAAATCAACCAAGCTAATAAATAACAAAATTTCTATAAATAACTAAACATTTTAACCTGTGTTGTAGAACCAAAATAATCTTCTGTTGTGTCGACACTATTTACAATGTCTAATATGCCCCTAAATGTGTCTGTGGTAGCATTGCGGTTACTGGAAGATAAACATTTTTTTATAGTCATTGAAATTCTTTTTACTTCAAGAATGTAAGTCTATTAATTTTACTAAGATAATAAATTTGAGTTTGAATCATTTAAAAATGACAGATTTGGACAACATTTCACACACATATAGTTAATCATCTGAACCCATAGGTAGGATACTTTAATCATCGTAAAAATCATGGCCTTTGAAAAACCCAGCACATATGAAATTATAACTATGTAGTTTATAGATGAAAAAGTGACAAAAGCATTTATTTTTCGTTGGGAAATGCGACATATTTCAACCCTAGCTGGATTACAAACGTAACAACTAGTTTGGTGCAATTGGAAACTTAAGAACTAGAATTGGGTTTAACAAAACTTACGACTAATATTTTTAAGGTTTAATTAGTTGTTTTTAAGAAACTAAAAACCATATTCATTTACTTATATTTCTAGCTCTACTTTTTTATAATACTAATTGGGTTTAATCATAGAACCTTACCACTTTTGAACTTCCAGCATTTTTTTTCGTCTCTCTTCTTGGTTATTACTCTTTTCTCTATTTTTGTAAAGGTCTTTAAACATGGTTTTACTGGCATCCTTATCCTCGAAATGGATTGCAGTAGAAGCTATTTTTTGTATAATATCATCCATTTTTACTGAACTGTAGATCGTATCCGGATGTTATTTTCAATTACCAGTGAAAAACAAACTTATTCACACAATTCTTTAACTGTTTAGTTTAATCAGTAGCCCAGGACTATTGTAAAAATATTTAAAGTAAATAAATATTATTTTCAGGACAAATCTCTCGAAACAGTGAGAGAAATGTCAATGGATTGATACTTGTCAGATTGTCAACTTTTGTCATTTAACAATGTGTCAGAGCTCCTGTGCTCTAAAATGCCCAGTAGGTAGGTCCCATGCTTGCCAGTTCTACCGCCATTGGTCGACAAAAATTACAGGAAATCGACGCTCAAACATGGTATTGCCAAACTTTATGTTTCAAATGTCTGATTTTCGTGGAAACAACGTGCTAACGGCATTTTTTAATAATTACTTTTTAATTAATTAACGTTTGAAATTTCTAGTAATAGATAAATTAGCAATTCATTTAATCTATATCACAACTCTAATTTAACATGGCTGGGAACATTAGTAAAGTAAACTGCTGAATGAAAATAATTCAGAGAGATAAATGTATTCAACTTGCTCATTATAAGGGAGCAGTACATCGGAATTAATCAATCATGATTTACACAATCCGCTTTTTTCCCCTACCGATTTGCTGGTGGTCTAAGAGACTATTCTAGCTACGCTCGGACGGGAGGATCCGTGTTCGGGATCATAATACGCCCTAGAGCATAGTAGAGGTTTAAACACACTTATGGTGATCTATCTCGCTTTACACAAGTATTTAAAGTATTTAATCGGGTCGACTTTAATGACAATACATCAACTGTTTTAAACGGAATTAAAAAAATCTTAATTGATTATTTTTTTGTGTATCCAACACATGCAATCATGAAATTATTTACTCAGTTGTAGCTCTAAAATGTGGAAAATACTTAAAGATTGTCTTATTTTGTTATTTATACAAGTTATTCTTGACATTAATGAGGTCATTCTTCAAATCCACTTCACTTCAGGATGTTCTTCTTCTGGAACTTCTTGGATTTTGTTATTTCAAGTCATAGCACTAAACTTACGTACCAGTACTACAAAATAGAAATTGGCGCCACTTCTTAAAATGGTTCACCATTCATATCTTCTAGAATTTTAATTAGTTCTTTATATACATCTTTTATATGCCTAGGTGTAATGAAGTGGTAATTCGTTGTCCTTTTATGGAACATAGTTCTATTAATGTTTTGTTTGCGGGTTCTCTTTCCAGTGATTTTTAAGGCACTTTACGATCGATTAGAAAATTGATTTTTTTTTCTATCGATTCAGCTTGTCGTCAATTTTGAGAACATGCAATACATATTTTCTATATTTATATTAAATAATAAAATTGTGATATATTTTTTCATTAGTATTCCAGAAACTTATCTGCTATACCAACTTATTTTATATTTGTGAACATTTTATGGTTCTTTTAATTATTTTAAACTGATTTTTTACTTAATAATTACATTAAAAACACAGAAAAAGACATTCAAGATAAAGATATTATTATTCTGTTCCAACAGGGTGTCCTTAAGACAACTCTCTTTTTTAATTGGTTCAAATATTTGTTTACATCCAATTATTTAAAATACTTGGAAGTTTTAAGCACATTCTTGTAACACTAATACGAAAAGGCGAGATTTGCCGAACCAATCTTTCTATTGAACACCGACGTTACCCGAACGTATGATTAGGTCACGTGGTACTTTTGGAGTCTTCGTGGCGTAGCTTGTTCAGCTGCTCGTCGAAGCGGCTGTCGGACGGTCGCCTCTCAGCGAGCCTGCGTACGATGTAGCGGCCATATTTGTTCTTATTATAATANCTTGTAACACTAATACGAAAAGGCGAGATTTGCCGAACCAATCTTTCTATTGAACACCGACGTTACCCGAACGTATGATTAGGTCACGTGGTACTTTTGGAGTCTTCGTGGCGTAGCTTGTTCAGCTGCTCGTCGAAGCGGCTGTCGGACGGTCGCCTCTCAGCGAGCCTGCGTACGATGTAGCGGCCATATTTGTTCTTATTATAATAGCGTGCGCATATTTTAATGTATTTTGAAGGACATTTAGGCAATTTCCACGATGACTATAATTGTATTTTTAATAGATACATCTGCTTCTATGAATCAAAGAGCTTATTTGGGCGGACGCCCAACATTACTCGATGTAGCCAAGGGCGCCGTGGAAACGTTCGTAAAGGTACGTGCAGTGTCATCGACTCGTCAGCCGCCTCGTTTTTGTGATCGATTTGTTTATCGCGTGTTGGTGTACTGGACTGATCAATTTTGTTTTGTAGGTGCGTCAACGTTCCCCCGAAAGCAGAGGCGACAGGTATATGCTTTTAACTTTCGAAGAGCCACCCGCGAACATCAAGGTTAGTATGTGAGAATATACACGTTAAACATTTTCTACTAGTGCTACATCTGTGGGCTGTCTTAAGTAATTTGTGCCATCCTTGCATAGCACAATACTCTGAAATTTAGAACATTGGAACATTACATACTTTGAAATAATAAAAGATATTGAAATAGACAACACGACGTAAACAGGACGAACCGCCGCCGTTGCTGCCTTCGCGTTAGCGCTGGCTCGCTACGGAACGGCGCTCTAGTCGCACGATTCTATTGGTCGGAATCGTGCTGCTCAACGAAATGGCGTTTTGGTGGGGAAATTTGAAATCTTATCACTGGAAAAACCAGAATGAAATTTTACAATCTGAAACTAGCAATTAATCACATTAAGTGATCATTCTATGAATTAAAGATTATAATTCAAAATTTGTCATTAATTTTTGTTGCAGGCTGGTTGGAAAGAGAATCTGGCTACATTTATAAATGAATTAAAAAATCTACAATGTTTGGGTCTTACAACTATGGGTGCTGCCTTGAAACATGCATTTGATGTTTTGAATATTAACCGTATGCAGACTGGCATTGACACATATGGCCAAGGCAGATGCCCTTTCTACCTTGAGCCATCAGTTATAGTAGTAATCACAGATGGTGGCAAATTGTCAAGCAATGCTGGCATTCAGGAAGAGGTAACTTAATGTTTACATTAATGATGTAAATGATGTTAGAGTCAGTTATCACAGATCAGACATTATATATTGAAATAATTATCTCATAAATTATAACGATTTTTTTTATTACATTGGCGGATGAGCTCACCGCCCACCTGATATTAAGTGGTTACTGGAGCCCATAGACATCTACAGCGTAAATGCGCCACCCACCTTGAGATATAAGTTCTGAGGTCTCAGTATAGTTACAACAGCTGCCCCACCCTTTAAACTGAAATGTATTACTGCTTCACGACAGAAATAGGCGGGGTGGTGGTACCTACCTGTGTGGACTCAAAATAGTCATAAAAACACACTTAAGACTTTAGTCTTATAGTGTCTGCAATTATTACATTTGTTTTTTAAATTTATCTTGGAAAAGGGGATGCATTTAAAAAAGAGAAGTTGTTTAATCTTTGTGATAAAAATTTAATCAATAGGGAATTATTGTTAGATACTGGAATAATCAACACTGAAAATATTGAACATATGAGACTCGAGTTTTACAATGTCAATTATTATAAATCTTTTTAATTGACATTCAGGACTGGTCATTAATGAGATTGGAATGATAAAAGAGAATCATTTTATCAACAAAATAATGAATTTATTATTAACATAATTAAATAAGCATCATAGTAGTAAACGGGTTTCTCAATACCTGTAAATCAGCACCAATGTTTTATTTGGGATAGGATTATGTAAAAAAAAAGAAAATAGTTACAGAAAAAATTGTATTCCATTTTGGATTCAAGAAAACAAGTCAGAGAAAATTCAGCTTGGAATATAAACTACTTTTGTAGTTCTGTTTTAGCCGATCCTTTGACAGGGAATCATTGGGGTATGTGTGCAAGTGCTATAATATCTCGTATATTAAAACTTTAATAAACCAAAGGAAAATGGTAGAATTTTTGATGATTATTACTAAGTTTACAATCTCTTTAATGTTAATGGGCATGCCTGTATTTGGATGGTATGTAGTGTTCCACTTAAAAGTATTTCAACTGGTAATTCTATCTTGAAACTACCACTACCAGAATGTGCATTTTAATTAATTGCGCATGTTGCAAGTTTTATACGATCTTCGCATGCGAGAGGTCGCAGGTTCGAGATTGGGCACGTACCACCTAGCAAGTTCCGGTGTCTAGGACAGGATAACTAATATTGCGACGTAGTTGTGATTTCAACCTTATATTTAGAAGTGGGCGGTCATATTCACGTCGTGTTATATAGGGACTACGATAAGCGTTAACACCTCATGAGCCGAACTCGTTTGCTTATCAATCTAGTTAAAGAATTTTTAGTTTTTCTTTGTAGGTAAATAACGTGAACTGTGTTCACAAGTGTTCGAGATCGGTATGCTTAGTGCGAGTTTTTTAAAGTTCTCGATAGCGTAAAAGTTAACTTAAATTTGTATTCAGTTGGAACAGCGCCCCTAGAGGCAAAAGTAGGCAATCGTTCTAACTCCATACAAATTTGAGTTAACTTTTACGCTATCGAGAACGTTAAAAAACTCGCACTAATCACACGGTACTCTATTAGATCTTTTGGGATTTAATGTCATCGGCCGTATTTACGCTTAATGAGTTATCTCGTCCGGCAGCGTAAGTATTTGGGCAAGTGCGTAGTGGATTAGGTAGATTCTGTTGTTTCCGAAAACTAAAAACCAAATATGTGGAATATTTCTATTTATTAAACAGAGTACTTTGAGTTTGAGAGAAATTTTCACTCTATCGTTAAAAGTGAGAAGTGACTCACACAAACAACGCAAAAGGTCAGAGGGTCAGGCAGCCTATCTGGATAATTGAAGATACTCATGTATTTGACCAGGGACATTACTTTTACTACTACTACCTTCCTTATCAACCGTCAGTAGTGTTAGTAGTAGTACTCTTAGTATCTTAAATACAGAGCTCGGAATTAGTCCTGCAGTTATCCGCCGCAATTATCCGCCAATTATTGTCTAATTTGAGTTTTTAAACCAAAGGCACAACTTACTCACCCGACGTTATTTTTTTTTCATTCTAAATTTCGGTACACTTTTGTAGCGCTTCATAGAGCACAACCACCCAATTATCGTACACTGTATATTGTACTGCTAATAGTTTCGAGTAAAATACAAAGCAACTTTACGGAGCTCTGATCATAAGGCTCAATGTACATACATGAAAAACAAATATATTAGTAATAATATGGCGTTCTAGTGTAAAAAGGATTGTAACACATCAGGTAATTAGTGCTTAATGGAGGAGTAAGTTGCGTGGACGTTTTAAAAGTATGATTCATATTTAGCATCATCCGCCGTTACGGACTTGTGAATAGGATTTGATATAAATAGTATCGTGGCAAGATGAATGAGGATACCATGCGAATGGTTAAGTTTGTTTTCAAACAATTTCAAGTTAAGCATTATTAAGATCGAAATGTAGGTGTACTTAGGGCAGCTTACGGGCCCATTAACGACTTAATATCAGGTATGAATAGAATAAAATAGTTTTTCAAATAAATAAAAAACGTAGAAGACTTAACTCGTTTGAAATTATATTATAAAACCCATGCCTTTGCGTTCGCGGTCAACGTTAATATAATTAAGTGAAAACAGTTCTATCCAACCGTTTCATTAGTAAGCAACCATTCTCGTAGGACCTGAAACTATTCGATTTCTGTAAACAGCTGTGTTTCTGTTTGTGATTTAGTGTTCACCGCAGTGCCCTATGAATTGAGTTATATTTACTAAATATACTCATAGATATGTTCAATAAAAGGCTATTTTTTACCACTTTTGTATGTATATCGCTGGTAGTCTTCCGTAAACACAGCCTATTGAGTTTGAGTTCGCCGGATCTTCGCAGTGGGTCAGGATTCCGATCCGGCGATATATTATGCGAAGCACTGCTCTTGCTAGGGCTAGTGTTAGGAAATCCTCTCAGGTTGAGCCCGTGAGCTCATCTACCCCTCTGCGAGAAGCTAGTATAGTCCCTTAGGCTACCAGTGAATAGGTAGAACAAAAAGAAGGAAAGTCCATACGACGACTCAGTGGCAGAATTCAACAAAAGATATATTACATACTTGTCGGGACTCGTAAAATGCATTAACACGATTATTAATTACGCTAATTTAAAAAAAAACCTTGTATACACTTGCTCACTATTCAGTGCAATGTGGTCAAGTGATAACCAAGTTAAATTAAGTTAAGTGGTGGCGTCGGGCATCCGACGGTATCAGTTAACATTTTTGATATTATCTTATCTAATATTTTGGTTTGTGGTGTAACGAATTTTAAAGTTTAGTCTTGGTCGAAACAAGGTTTGTTTACAATTTAAAAGGCGGTCACATTTCCCTGTTTCCATCCACACAGTTGTGCGTACGCTTCAAGCGACTCATGCTCGATCTATTTCACGTTGATGATACCTTATCAGAACTAACGTATTACGCAAATGTCAATCATAAAAAACACACGAAAAAAAACTCCTAGAATAATAAATCAAAGAACCGATGAGCTCAAATTGCTTAAATAATATTTAGAGCTGATTAGGATCTCGAAGAACGCAACTTTTGGAACGTATGCAACTGTTGAACATGATTGTGGAATATTAATAATGTGGATAATAATTAATCCTACGTGGAAGGAAAAAATATTTAAATACTTACTTAATTAAAACTATGTACTTTTAGTCGCGAAAACCGAAGAAAAAATACTACTAAGACACCCAATTTAAATTCTGTCTCGAATAAAGCTATGTTAATAAATAAAAATCTAATACTAAACATCCATTTTATACATTAGTTTGTCTCTAGTTTTCGTAGACAAGTTACTGTTTCCATGGAATTTCATTTGCAAACTGACCTTTCATCTGGGTATATACCGACTCCCGATCTCCATTTCTCACTGCACACTAAATATCAATAAACTTGCTTATTCAGCAGCACTGCAGAGTTTTATTGAGTGGTGGTGTGGGTTAACTGTGCATATATATATTGTGCACGGTGTTTCGGTGTAAAAGCGAGTGCACTTTCGTATCGATACATGCCAAGCGAATTCCTTTCGTTATTGAATTATAAATAAAGTTCCAAACGGAACTTCCTTGTTTGTGGCCATAGCCGACATGGCACAAAATTTATGCTCCAAAATTGCTGATAAACTATGTATACATAAATAGACATCGGTTCGCAAACCAAACCAGTTTTAGTTTGTCAACCCGTATTTTTTTAAATGACAAATTAAGTATTTGAGGATGTCAGTGATAAAATTTCGATAATTAGGCGAACTAGGTACTAGGAAATAGTAGAAATGGTTTTAATGGACGTTTTGAAGTTAGGACGCGAACACTTTTCTCGTTAGCAGAGAAATGAAACATAACACCAAGCAAATAAATACAAATAAAATTCATTGAAAAACTGAAACATTAGCCAACTAATGTTTTTTGCGCAGTCTTAGCAAGTACCTAACTGTAGACGTTGTACATATTGTAATACACAATTTTATCTACAAATGTTACCAGTGAAGTAGGTAACTTAATTAAATTGTTTAATTTTAAAGTTTCATTGATATATTACATTGTAAACAAATGGAAGTTTCATTTAAACAATTTCGTTAAATCTTGTTTATTGTTTAAAATTGTTAGGGTGTTTAAAATTTTTATCAATATTAAAATTATTATATAATACTAACTTTTTGTTACGTTTTCATGCCCAAACCACTGAACTGATTCGAGGAACTCGTGCTCGCCCACATCTTATGTATGTGCACGATGGCGAAGCTACAGGCGATAGCATAGTATAATATAAAACAAAAAAAAAGATTTTTTTATCTTAAACTAGCGACTCGCTCTCGCTTCGCTTCGGAAACATGATTTTTTTTATTGATTATTTACGACATCACATTAGAAACCTCAAAAATAACAGTATTACTATTTAATGGATGTTATTATACATATAAACCTTCCTCTTCAATCACTCTATCCATTAAAAAAAACCGCATCAAAATCCGTTGCGTAGTTTTAAAGATTTAAGCTTACATAGGGATATAGGGACAGAGAAAGCGACTTTGTTTTATACTATGTAGTGACATATCATTTAACTGCATGCTCAATTGAATTACAAATGTCTCTAACATACATATCAGAAAACGTAAATAGTTATTTTACGAAAAGACAAAACCGTTTTAACTTTACAATAAAACCTCACTTGATCGTGTTTACGAGAGAAACCTTTGGTGGACGTAAAGTAAGACTCGAGTATTTCATTACTGAATGTTTTCGAAAGTGCGTCACATTAGCGAGTTCATCTAAATGTCATTCGTTCGTTGCATAACCTAGTACGGAAATGCGTTTGAAAGACTTCCACTTATTGTGTACTCACTCACATAATTTTTCGTTTGTTGTACATGTCAAAATCTTATATGACACTCCGATTTGTTGCTTATGGTAAAAAAATCACAACTCCCCGTTTATTAGTCGGAATTGGTAAATGCCCATACGTAGTACCTGACGTTAAGTGCTTAGTGCGAGAAAACTACTTAACATCAGATTGGCAGTGAGCTCGTCGTTAGAATCACATGTTGCAGTGTTTTTTTTTAATTTATTGCTTAGGTGGGTGGTTCAGCTCACAGACCACCTGGTGTTAAGTGGTTACTGGAGCCCATAGACATCCACAACGTAAATGCGCCACCCACCTTGAGATATAAGTTCTAAGGTCTCAAGTATAGTTACAACGGCTGCCCCATCCTTCAAACCGAAACGCATTACTGCTTCACGGTAGAAATAGGCAGGGTGGTGGTACCTACCCGTGCGGACTCACAAGAGGTCCTACCGCCAGTAAAAACATGAACAACGAAACAAATCTAGAAATAAATAAAATCATTAGTTTTCTTCTGCTGCGTTTAGTATTAGTTGTGCTGTTGTTTATTTTGTGTCTATATAAGTATTTACCTATGTACATTTGTTCCAGTTCAACTTGCCCATGAATTGCCCTATTCCCGGATCGGAGTTAACCCGGGAACCGTTTCGGTGGGATCAGCGTCTGTTCTCCCTTGTTTTGAGACTGGCCGGCACTCCGGCCGTAGAACGGGACACCGGCCTCGTGCCCTCCGATACGTCACCAATAGACGCCATGTGCGAAGTTACCGGAGGTGAGTACTGATAATTCGTCAAACCAATAGGTGAACCGATTTGGATTGTTTTTNTTCCCGGATCGGAGTTAACCCGGGAACCGTTTCGGTGGGATCAGCGTCTGTTCTCCCTTGTTTTGAGACTGGCCGGCACTCCGGCCGTAGAACGGGACACCGGCCTCGTGCCCTCCGATACGTCACCAATAGACGCCATGTGCGAAGTTACCGGAGGTGAGTACTGATAATTCGTCAAACCAATAGGTGAACCGATTTGGATTGTTTTTCATTTGAAAACTGGCACTTTCTCACATGTTTTAATGTATTTTTGTTATATAAATAAGAGTAGTATAATAAATGCAAATGATTTCTTGAAAGATTCAGGCTTAAGTATTATAAATTTCTTCGACCAGACAATAGGTAGAGAGATAGCGGCCTCAATAATTCCTGTCCTGATTTGCCAATCTCAGACCAATCGTGCTCAATGATGCTTGTGGCCAAGAAGCAGGCGGCCGCTCGTAAAACTTGGCCAAATTGACCTACAACATGAGTACATATTGTGCCAACCTCCCACCTACTGGGATATCGACAAGTTACTAACTTTTTGCATTATTGCGTTCTTACTATTGGAAACTCGCGTATTATTAATATATACCTAATGACTATTTATATACAATATTATCTTGGTTTGCGCGAACCGTAACTTCATGATTTTTTTTAATTTTGTCGATTCTACTTCGGTGTGCTTAGTGCGAGTCTTTTAACATTCTCGATAGTGTAAAAGTTAACTCGAATTTGTATGGAATTGGATCAGCGCCCCTAGCGCCAAACGTAGACAAATGTTCGAACTGCATACAAATTTGAGTTAACTTTTACGCTATAGAGAACGTTAAATAACTCGCACTAAGCACACTAATTTTAATAATAGGTCAAAGCAATAATTGTACTTTACTTGGTCCCTGATACGAGTTAAAATGTTTCAAATTAATCGCACAAATAAAAGTTATTGAAAATTACGTTGAAAGATTCCGATGCATAGATGATAGATAGATACAGGCCAAGCCAATGAAAACGTGTTTAAAACTTTCGAACCCTGTACGAACAAGAAGCACTCGAAAGTTCTGAAATTTTCAAATGAATAAATTCAAAACTTCCAAAGAAGATTTAAATGGACCGATAGAAATTCAAATTTAAAAAAAATTCAAATTCCTTCAAGAACGGACTTGACAAACTTTGAATCTTAGACTTCAGCTAAAACTGCTTTCGTCTATTTTTATAAAACAATAATCAAGGATATTACCTCCAGGCAGTTATTGAACGTGCCTCTAAAAAGTTAATCTTTCTCTATTGAGTGCATTAAAATGTGAGAAAAAGAATGATTTCATTAAGTTTTGCAGTGTTTTAGAGAGCTTTTTACTATTTTTTTAGTGCTTAAATGGGTGGAAGAGCTCTGGGTCCACCTGGTATTAAGTTATTACTGAAGCTCATGTAACTCAACAACGTAAATTCTGCTATACACCTTGAGACATGAGTACTTTAAGTCAGTCTTACATTACAACGGCTGGCCCACCCTTCCAACCAAACTATATTATTGCTTCTCGGCAGAAATAGGCAAGGTAGCGGTCGGTACCTACTCGTACGGATTTACAAGACGCCCACGTTCTTTTCATCACGCTTTTTACTCCGTCTCGACGGCCAGACATACACAAAATGAAATTATATTCCAAATAGTTGACGTAAATTGTATATCTAACCATGAAATTACTTATACGGACAGTTTGCATTTTAGTCTTCAATTTCCAGAACATTTAAGCAACAATGTCGATTTTGTTTATTATCGATTTTAAATTCGTGATATTTCATTTAGCCTATTTACTCGATATTTAAGATATGGTCCTTTTCCTATGAAGTGTTAGTTTTTAAAGCGGACTTCAACATTAATTTTCACGTGTTCCTATAACAGTATAGTGATTAGCATCAAATTATTTAATGTAGTTCTAGTGCTCTGTTTTTTTTTTTTGAATATACACATTTAAAATTTACATTTTAATGATGTCTTCGAAACTAATAATACAATTCCTGTTCTTATGACTTAAATATTCTGAAATGCAATTGTGTTGTTAAATTTTGAATGAAATGCCTTTTAAACCGATGTACATTTTATTCGAAATCTTGGGATAGCATAAGCCCTTTCAAAACCTGTTCGACTAGTTTTTGTTTTCATATAGTCAAGGTTTTTGTATAAATAATTCAGTGTTATGTAGTAGGTAGGCAATGTAATGTGTAAGTATGCAATTATAATATGTGAACAAGGCAATGAATTTAAATTAGTACCAGCAATTTATGTTTCGAAAATAATGTAACACAAAAATATGTCAACTCACTTTTTTAATCTACGTTCGTTGCAATTCTACTATCGAGATAAAACTGAACGCCATTAAAAAAATATCTTTGACCACATTGATTTCAGTTTAATAGGTCGAACATTTCGTATTGTCACTGATTCTAATGTATTATATACGCGATTAATCCTATTAGATCAATTGCTTGATCTCTTTTAATCTACGTTCGTTGCAATTCTATTATCGAGATAAAACTTAAAAAATTCTCTTGGATCATATTGATATCAATTTATTAAATCGAACATTTCGTATTATCACTGGTTCTAATGTTATTATATGCGCGATTAATCCTATTAGATTAATTGTTTGATCTAATGAGTGTAGTCGGCGCTGTAGGAGGAACCACAAAATACAAAAAAGTAAACAAACTGCAAAGGAATCCTTATAAATTCGAATTTTGCAAAAAGTAAAACCGACTTTAAGCTTCTAAACTCGAGATACACAATAGAAACAAAGGGAACAAAACAGAAACCTTCACTGTTTTGTAAGTTTTGAAGAGGAAAATTATAACGAATAATGACATGCGTACGTTTGTTTACAAATTTTAAGGAGTATTATTTACACTGCCGCTTTAAGTTGTCCTTTGAAGATAGCCAACAGATCCGCGGGGCTCCTTCTTAAAAAAATGTAAACTTCATCTTCCATAGTTTAGTACATTTGATAGTACGACCCTCTTGAATGTAATCTGTAATTGTTTGTTTACATTGCAATAAAAGGCTCATCGGTGATGCCTTCTACCTCATTTTATTATATTACTAGCGACCCGCCCTCGCTTCGCTTCGGAAACATTAAAACACACTCGAAACCAAAAATAATAATAAAAAAAGTAGCCTATGTTCATCAGGGATAATGTCGGCTTCTAATGGAAAAATAATTTTTCAAATCGGTCCAGTAGTTTCGGAGCCTATTCGAAACAAACAAACAAACAAATCTTTCCTCTTTATAATATTAGTATAGATGTGTTTTCACGTAGACCACCAAATCTTGATCTATTGTTTTTCGTATACACCAATCGTTGAGCCGCTCGCTTATATTGTTTGTCAACAAATGGTTATTGTTGGACATGAAACTTGAGCGAGAAGGCTTATTACAACCGGTACTATCTATTATCGTTATCTGATATCCTGTTTTATATTTCGTAAAACTATTGTAACTTTTTAATGTATTGTAGATTTTTTTTATGGCGTATGTATGTTTATTGTATTGTGTATTGAGCATGANTCATCGAGCCGCTCGCTTATATTGTTTGTCAACAAATGGTTATTGTTGGACATGAAACTTGAGCGAGAAGGCTTATTACAACCGGTACTATCTATTATCGTTATCTGATATCCTGTTTTATATTTCGTAAAACTATTGTAACTTTTTAATGTATTGTAGATTTTTTTTATGGCGTATGTATGTTTATTGTATTGTGTATTGAGCATGACGTGGGAGGAGCTAGAACAGTCTACTTAAGACCGATATAAATGGAAGGGTTTGATTCGAGGTTACACTCCAGAAGAAGATAATAGGAAACAAAGAAGCAGTATGTATGTAGGTTTGTGTACGAGTCCATAGACATCGTAACCAGAATATCGCCACCGGCCTTGAGGTTAAAGTCTCAACTGTATTATATAATTGTTTATGAGTTCTGGTGACCATTTAAAACCAGACAGGCCACGAAGTCGTTCATCCAAATAAGAAATAATTAATAAATAATAATTATAAAAATATAGATTTAGTAAAATGCCGTTGTATATCTTAGGTGAGAATGTCAATTTCCCACGCGATTGCTATGGTATATCAAGTTTAAACTACGCATCATTAAAAGAGGGGTTCATATTTATTTTGTAATTTCAGGTCGTTCATACTGCATCACGTCGCACCGTATGTTGATGCAGTGCATCGACAGCTTAGTGCAGAAAGTGCAGAGCGGCGTCGTTATCAACTTTGAGAAGATCGGACCGGATCCGCCTCCGATCGACGGCGCCGCCGGCCGAGACGACCAGGACGAGGTGAATCACGACACCGAAAAGGAAGTGGACGCCGACGCCGACAGAAACGGGGTGAGTTGTTTTGATTTTTAATACGCTTTTATTAGGTTCAGACGTATGTATGTTAGTATGTTAGTACATATATTGTAATGGAATCGTTGATCATGATTTTGACCCCCTTCAAGACGTCGGATTAACTCGAAATTTGGTATACTTATTAAGGATTGATGACAATTCAATAATAAAACAAAAAAAAAAAACAAAAAAATTGAAAAATAAATAATAGTTTAAAAAAACTAACAAAATACGCTTTTATATAGAACATCCCGCTAAAAAAAAAAATAATAATAAATTAATTATAAAAAAATATTGTTGGATTGTCTATAAAAGTGTGTTTTGTTAGTTTTTTTAAAATATTATTTATTAATACCTATTTTTCAAACTAAAAATTACTATAAGTTCAATAAACGAGTGCCATGTTTTCATATTCGCAAATGACAATGGAATTTTGGTCTAAATTAATTATTGTTATTTATTTTTGTGCTGGCAATAAAACAGTCAGACAGACAATTTAAAACATGCATCGTTTTGAAGTTAACGTCACATTTTTCAATAAACTATAGGAGCTCACGTTCGATCTGGTGTTAAGTTACGGATAGAAAGCCTAAATCGTTACTAAAAGTTCTAATATAATAATGAATTACAGTGATGCAAATTATTTTGCTATCATGTTACCATGTAAAAATGATACTGAAAAAAATCAATAATAATGCACAAAAACAATTGTAATGAAATCAATCATAACTGCCCCAGTCATGAATTACAAAAGCGATAAGAAGATAATACACAAAACATTGATACGACTGACATAATAGTATTTATCAAAGAAACTGACAAGTATTTTACGAGAAACAAAAAGTTATAAACTAAATAATTGTTTTTAATCCCATAAAAGTATTTAAAATTTTTTAATAGTACCTATAATTTATGGTGTAGATAAATGTAAATTAAAAAACTTGTACGTGTGTAACTTGGTGCACGTGAAAGAAGTGAAAATCCTTTTGTAGTTTGTAGTGTTGTGGTTTTCTTCATTTTTCATCCTTAAATCAAATTTCTCTTGTAATAGAGAAGGCTGTGTGTAAGACAAACAACCTAGCCAGCTTGTCTTTTACCTTCTCTCAACGGTCTAGTGGCGCGCGAGACGCGAGTTGTGCTTGAGTTCATCCATATCACCCGGAACCGCTGCGTTCATCGACAGTGCGTTTCCAGAGGTCTTTTTTGCCGCGTACCATCCGGCTATGGAATGAGCTCCCCTCCACGGTGTTTCCTGACCGCTATGACATGTCCTTCTTTAAAAGAGGCTTGTGGAGAGTATTAAGCGGTAGGTAGCGGCTTGGCTCTGCCCTTGGCAATGCTGAAGTCCATGGGCGACGGTAACCACTCACCATCAGGTGGGCTGTATGCTTGTCTGCCTACAAGGGCAATAAAAAAAAGAAGAGTCTATTTTCTCAGTCTCGCTCTTCCGAAATTGTATTCTTTTCTCTCTAGCCGTAACGAATCTGTCGCGAGTAAAATTTAACCCCCAACGCGCCTAAAGAAGTTTCTCTTCAATAAGACAATACTATTACAATTCTAAAGCTGTTCATAATAACACCGAGACCACCCACTTCGAGATTCGAGGTCAGAAATCCGATTTCATTGCGGTCACTAATGTTATTTAGGCAGCGTCTTGGCCATGCCCAGCATTGCTGACCTCCATGGGCGACGGGAACCACAAACCTCCAAGAGGGCCGTTTGCTCGCCTGCCTACAAGGGCAATAAAAAAAAAAAACTAAACTTTGTCCATTTACAGCGTTGGAACGGTGGCTCGTATCAGACCAGCGCGAATCAGAACCAGAGTGGCGGCGCACCGCAGGCTTGGCACTCGTGTCGTCGACTCATCTATGTGCCGCGGACCGTCGCCCAGAAAGGTTTCGCTGTAGGCTTCTGGCCAATACCGGAGTCGTTCAGATCGGATCCTAATGCACCCACTTTGGTGAGTAATATTTGATGCATCTACAACAGTCTTTATTCGTTCGCTACTGGATCTAGAATTTTTTCCTCAGCACGCGTCACTAATTTTGTGATTTTTTTTAAATTATTAAATACGTTAACATCCTATTACATTAATAAATGATGAAAGTGTTTACCTAGAGAATAGCTCTTGAATTTGTTCTGTGATGTTCGATAATCAATAGAATTAGATGTTGTTTCTATAATTATTGGGTCAGGAAGGGCCACAATTGAGTAATGTAAAGGCATATTAAATATAATTATATTATCGTATCTTGATGTACTTAATGAAAAAAAAAAAAGTATATCCAACATCTAAGCATTTTAACGTACTAGCACTCATGAATGTAATTCTACTCTCTTGACTTAATCTAACATTGCTGCAGTCTCTCATATAGTGTATTTGAGAAAAGGACAAAAAATACTAAAATAAAAATAAAATATTTAAAAATAAATATAACATAAATTATTTAAAATACAATTTTCAGCCACCTCGTTCAGCTCATCCAGTTGTGAAGTTCACATGTTCAAGCCAGGAGCCCATGGTCATCGACAATCTTCCCTTTGATAAGTACGAACTCGAGCCCAGTCCGTTGACACAATTCATACTCGCCAGAAAGCAACCAACAATTTGTTGGCAGGTAAGAAAATATTTACATACGTGAATACTTAATTTCTGTAGTTACTGATCAATACCAGTATAAAAGCGATAGACCGATTATGTCTTGAAATTGTCCTATTCAAACTATCCAGATTGTCTATGTTAAGCTCTTTAAAAAACGACAAATTACCTAAACATTTTTTAAAGATTATAGTTATTTTAGTAAAATATCAACCGAATATGCTTATATGGTTTATTATTTCACATTTATTTTTACTCGAAAGAACAGTAACACAAAAAAAGTTTTTGAAGTGAAACTTCTTTAGGCGTGTTGAGAGTTAATTTTAACTCGTGACAGATTCGTTACTGCTAAAAAGAAAATATACAATTTAGGAAGAGCGAGAGTGAGCAAAATAGACAAAGCGTATCGCGAACCACTCGACTGTGGAGAGAGGGAAAAAGCGAGCTAGGTCGTTTCTCTTATACACATTTTGATTACGGGCGTCGGCCAATAGATGGCTTGTTATTAGTTTTTCATTGCTAGATGGTAGTTACATATTAACTATCTTTTATTTTATTTATGTTACAGGTGTTCGTGGCAAATAGCGGGTGTAAAACCTCAGAAATGAATCAACCGTTTGGTTACTTAAAAGCGTCAACGAACTTAACTTGTGTGAATCTGTTCGTACTACCCTACAACTACCCGATGCTATTGCCGTTGCTCGACGATTTGTTCAAAGTACATCGCTGCAAACCCACGCCCGAGTGGAAAATGGCCTTCCAACACTATTTGGATCGCATGCCGGCCTACTATGTTGCGGTAAGTTGAATTCATTACTGTTTATGTTATCCATTTGCCGACTAACTTTATACTGGATTTAAAAAAAATTAGGAATTAACACTATTGAACTAGTAAAACTCAAAAGTAATTGATGCGATTTATTGACCTTTCAGCCTCTACGAAGAGCCTTAACGAAAATGGGAGCATCACCACAGCTGCTTCAGAGCATCATACCCGACACTCAGGATAATTCTCTGAGTTTTTCCGTTCTGAACTATTTGAAAAGACTGAAGAATCAAGCGAAGATCGAATTTGAAAAGCTCTGCGCTGATGTTATTAATAAAGCCAATAGTAACAATCAAAAAGTGAGTACACATTATATTTTGTGTTCTATAAGTATACATAATATTTGGTGTGGCGTAAATTGGGTGAGGCCTATGTCCAGCAGTGGACAAATGTGGCCTGATGATGATGAATACAAATATATAAAACTACAAATAATTTAACTGATACAAACATATTAAAGAATTATTGTTCGAAGTTAATTGTTAAACACTTGGTGCCAAGCTTGGTGGTAAATAGAAATTATGTAATAGTACCGACAAAAAATACAAGTAATATGTGTAAATTTATTCTGAATAATGTGTCTAACACGGGAGTTTCGAACGATTTACGAAAAGATCAAGCTAAACCTTTAATCTCACTGACAATTAGCAATTTAAGTAAGAAATTATGACTCCAAAATCATAAATTCTTGCCTATAAGAATCCGGACTCTAAGAACAAATTCATTTAAATTAAATTAGTTTCTTTAATTAAATTAAGACAAACCACAAAAATACGATATTTATATATTTTTAATAATTTAGTAAAATCGAATAGTTATTTATTTTTTCGATCTTGGTCTCAAGTATGTGGAAAAATCTAAATCTATTGCTAAGTGATCTACTAATCTAGCCCTAAATGACATCATGTTAGCGTAGCAGCTTAATAAAAATTATCAGCTTCTCGCTTACGAATTCTTACTGCTGAAATATTAACTGGAATTATTATTAGCTTCACGTCCAACTTCGTTTAACTTTTCGCGTGTAACATAACAAAATTATCTATATATTAATACGTGAAGCAAAAACTTTGTACCCCTTTTTACGAAAATTGCGCGGACGGAGGAGTATGAAATTTCCCACACTTATAGAGAATATAGAGAGGGAGTGCAGAATGCTAATTTTTTTTTTAGATTATGTCTCAATAATACATTAATTCAATAAGAGAAACATGACACACTCTACCATGTATTTGACACATACATATTATATACTCTTCGTTTATTGTCAAACTTTTGTTATTGTTTAAAGTCTGTGGTCAAACTGAGAACAGATTAATATTGTTTGTCTATAATGTAGTTCTGGCGAAATCTGTAATTATAGAAGTAAAATAATAGTCTTTGACAATAGAACCATAATAATGTTCAAACTTATAATTTCAACTAATTAAAGTCGAATTTCACTACTTATTATTAATGCAGCGGGCTTGCAATTTACAGGGAGCTGAAAGTGTTCGAGTAATGCCACGGTCGCCTCTCAAGAAAGACCTCACGACCCACCCGTGCCTTCAAGATAAATTTTCCGCCTTACGTGATCAACTTAATGAGTTCGGCGGCTTCGTGGTAGGACTCTCGCGGGGTCGCCATAAAAGCGGAGCCCACACATACCGTAATCCATTCGATATACAACGGAGAGATCTGTTGGATCAAGTGAGTTGAAAATTTTAATAACTACCTACCTACCTTTACGGCCCATGATTTTTGCATGTATCGATAGCAAACGGTGACGAGCGTACGGCCCCTCTGATGATAAGTGGTTGGAATGAATGTCCGAAAAATGAGGGGCAGAGTCATGTTGCTTTTTTTTTTGAAACGCTAATAATGACATGTTTTAATTCGAAAAATTTATAATGCATTCAAAAAGACGACAGAAAATGTGAGATTGGAAAAAATTAAGGCGAATTGTGCAGAAAATATAACTATCATGTCCCAACCGCTTTACACCGTAAGCTCGTTCACACAATAAATAAAGGAAAAATCATTATTAATATGTGAGGCTGATCTACTAATGTGTTCTAATAATAGTTTCATGTTGACCGTAAGACATCCCAACTAATAACCAAGTGTTAAATTAAAGCTATACAGTTTTAAATATTAGCAACTTATCCGCAGGTGGTCCGAATGCGAGCCAATTTCCTGCAGCCCTCTCTCGCCCACACTCGTCTGTTAGACGAAGACAGCGCGCACTCCATGCCGGTCGCGCAGATGGGCAACTACCAGGAGTATTTGAAGCGGATGACGCCGCAGCTACGAGAGATCGAATCTCAGCCAGTTCGCCAGCACATGTTCGGAAATCCATTCAAGATTGACAAAGTGAGTTTTTTTAATTTTTTCTATTGCCTGAGCACGCAGACGAGCATACGGCCTACCTGATGGTAAGTGGTTACTGTCACTCATGGACGTCAGCAATGCCAGGGGCAGAGCCAAGCCGCTGCCTACAGCTCAATAATCTCCACAAGCGTCGTTTGAAGATGTGATGAGAGTGATGATGAGCTTGGAAAATTTGCATTTTTTACCTTAATTTAAATTAAATACGCTACTAATATCTTATCTTATATACGAAGTATATACTAAGTATTTACTAAATACGTAAGTATATACTTAATTATATGCTAAGTTATATACTAAGTATATATTAATATATACTAAGTTGACTTTATCTTAAACAATACATTCTGATCGTGATTTGGAAAAAATAAATACAGTTATCGAATACTAAATAGTGACGTAATTGAAGCTAGATATGCTTTTTAGGTTTTTTCTATACANCGAAGTATATACTAAGTATTTACTAAATACGTAAGTATATACTTAATTATATGCTAAGTTATATACTAAGTATATATTAATATATACTAAGTTGACTTTATCTTAAACAATACATTCTGATCGTGATTTGGAAAAAATAAATACAGTTATCGAATACTAAATAGTGACGTAATTGAAGCTAGATATGCTTTTTAGGTTTTTTCTATACAATTGTATTATTTGTTTTTTTTTGTTAGCTAATTTTTTATCTATAGATAAAAAATCGTTAGGAATTGTTTTCAATACCTCCATTGGCTTCTTTCTCATTACATTTTATTTGAGATTAAGTATAATCTAATCTAAATCTAATCTAATGTTTTATTTACGATTAAATATCGAATCGAAATGTCGATCAATAAGTCTTAGATCGTAGATTAAAAAACTGAGCTTTTGTTTCATTTTCGTTAACCCTCAACACATTTGTAAATTATCGAGATCTTCTGACTTTCGTCGAGCAAGTTTTTCATTCATTGGTTTCACAAAAATCGAACCGTAAATTTTAAATATAACAAATCAAAGAAGTACGGTTTTCGGATATTCATTTTCTCTTAATTAACCCGTCTCTAATCTCATAATTAACTTTCTAGGTAAATTTATCTCAGAGCGCACTACCGCTACCCGATATGATATTCATGCTTTAAAAATGATAGTTAACACTCACTTTACGGAAAAAGCATGGACTATTAATCCCGATTATGATATATATTAATGACGTCACAAAGCATAATTTCTATCACTGTATTTGCTGATTTATATTTGAAATTGATCACCAGTACTAGATTTGTTTAATAAATAGAATTGACCTTTATCAAATTGTACTATGGAACTATGCACGAGATAAAACTGTAAAAAGTCTTAATTGTAGTTGCAAGTCGCGAAAACCGAAGATAATATTATTATCATCTATTTAATTTTTAACTTAACGTGTCTCTTGCAGCGCATGATGGTAGACGAAGCGGACATCGACCCCGTGGGGGGCGCGGTGCGAGGCGGGGCGGGGGGCGGGGCGGGCGGCAAGCGCGGTTCCGACCTCCCGCGGATCACCCCACCTAAACGCAAGGCGGGACCTCTCCCGCAGCACGTGGTGGCGCGTCGTCCCTCCTCGTCCCCAGCCCCGCCGCTGTCCCCGCCCGCGGTCCCCCTGTCCGTCTCCCCGCAGCCGGCGCCGCTCGCGATTAGACGTCCGACATCACCACTAACGCCTTTGCCATCCGACTTGCCATCGGGACGACCACCCGAGGTTAGCTTGCCATATTTTTTGTGTTTATTACAAAGGAAAGAAAGTTTTCCAATTAATATTAAGTAAAAAAAAATCGACCAATTCTAGCCTAAATGATTCGATTTGAAGTGGTATATCGTCGTAAATTAACTCACAGACACAGCCCACTGAGTTTCTCGCCGGATCTTCTCAGTGGGTCGCGTTTCCGATCCGGTGGTAGATCCTGTGAAACACGGCTCTTGCTAGGGTTCGTGTTAGCAACGTCGTCAGGCTTGAGCCCCGTGAGCTCACCTACAAGCTCGGCGAATCTAGAATAACCCCTCGAAGTTACTAGAATAGGTAGGAAAAAAAAAGTCGTTGCAAATTTGAAATCTCCTATGTGTATAAACGTTGTTTTCGAGAAAATCTAATAAAACTACCTCCTGGAAAAAATATGCAAATATTTTTTTAGCACATATAATACATGTTGATCTACAATAAAATGCAAACCGAAACTTAGGATTTTTTAAGATTGACGCGCAATAAAGTGAAATATTGAGATATGCACATGGGAGTTTTTGCTGAGTATAGGTATTCATTAACATTAATATTAACAATATATGAAAACATCATTTTGTCATCAAAATATCACATAGGAGATTTTAAATTTGCAACGACGATATCTGTATATTAATACGTGAAGCAAAAACTTTGAACCCCTTTGTACGAAAATTGCGCGCATAGAGAAGTATGAAATTTCCCACACTTATAGAGAATATAGAGAAGGACTGCAGAATGTTAATATTTTTTTAAATTATGTGTTAACACACTACCATGTATTTGACACACCCAGNATTCATTAACATTAATATTAACAATATATGAAAACATCATTTTGTCATCAAAATATCACATAGGAGATTTTAAATTTGCAACGACGATATCTGTATATTAATACGTGAAGCAAAAACTTTGAACCCCTTTGTACGAAAATTGCGCGCATAGAGAAGTATGAAATTTCCCACACTTATAGAGAATATAGAGAAGGACTGCAGAATGTTAATATTTTTTTAAATTATGTGTTAACACACTACCATGTATTTGACACACCCAGACACGAATACCCTTTTGTTTATTGCTTAATATTTCTGTGGTGTAATTCAGAATAGATTAGTATTGTTTGTCTTTAATATTGTTTGTCTATAGTGTAGCCTTGGCGAAATCTGTGATCACAGAAGTATATTAGTCTTTGACAATAGAAACATAATAATGTTCAAACTAATAATTTTAATTAATTATAGTCGAATTTCGACTACTGCGCGACCACTAGTATTGGTAATATTATGTGTTGTATATTCCAGGAGCCTCCAAACTTGGACTCGGGCGGGTCGGTGTGCGCGGCGCCGTGTCCGCCCGCGCCCCCCCTCGCGCCGCCCGCCAACCTGCCGCCCGTCGTCAAACCATTCCTCAATGGCGGTCAGTTATATCTCACTTCAAATTCCGATATATCGATAATACTAATACCAACATTTCGTTATAAATCTTTATGGACGATAAAAAGGAGAGATAATGATATCTTTGGAATAAAGGGGAATGCCGCCTCTCCATAGTGTGCTGGGCACAAGATGGACATCAAATGTTTTTGTAAAAAAAGATGTGTGGTGTCGTGGGACACCGGATAGGAACGAAGTTCCTTATTATATAAATATTAATTTTAAGTTCTATTCGAGGTATAAAGAAAATAAAACTGGAGGTTTCGCAACAACCCACGGTCATTCGGTAACGTGCGAACTTATTGTGGTACACTTCATTCACGGTTGTTTGCATAAGAGTTAGTGTATTGCGCAAAATAAAGCTCTGAGATCGTGATCAATGAATGATAAAAAAATGTTATTTTTTGTACGTTATTACAAAGTTAAGTCGTACACTGTGTGCATTACTAATTTGTTAAAAAAAACGTTTTGAGGTTAATTTTCTATATGAATAAGTGTCGGATTGTGAGATACTTCAAGAACTTTTATAATACACAAACCATTGATACAACTGACATAATAGTATTTATTAAACTAACGGGCAAGTATTTTACCAGAAAAAAAACTTTATAAACTAAATAATTGTTTTTAATCCCATAAAAGTACCTTCAATTTTTTAATAGTATAAATGTTTGTGTAGATAAATGTAAATTAAAAAACTTGTACGTGTGTAACTTGGTGCACGTGAAAGAAGTGAAACTTCTTTTGCAGTGTGTAGTATCTAAGCAAAAAAAACAAAAACTTGAGTGGCTCGTGAGGTGCTCTGTCTATTTTCTCACTCTCGCTTTTCCTAAATTGTATCTTTTCTCTCTAGCTGTAACGATTTTATTCTCAACGCGTCTAAAGAAGTTTCACTTCGAAAAACACAACGTTGTATTGATGATATTGTTCTTATTGCAGACGCATACAGTAGTCCGTGCAAGGCTCCGCGGTCGCCGTCCCCGCCCAACGAGACGCGTTTGGACTCGCAAGAACTTCAGATCAACGCGATCCTGCAGGGGCTCGCCGCTCAGAACGACGCTCAGAACTCACGAGCGAAGAAATGGAAACGGAAAGTAAATGACTTTTGTTAATATTCATTGCTCCAGTAGCAGTTTCCGGATTCATTAACGGTGCTTTTAGGCACCACAAGCACCGGTCACTGTCCTCGTCGAACCCGTCGCTTGCGACGAAGGGCTCGACGAGCGAATTAACCCATAGACACAGCCCACTGAGTTTCTCGTCGGATCTTCTCAGTGGGTCGCGTTTCCGACCCGGTGGTAGATGCTGCGAAGCACTGCTGCTGCCAGGGTCAGTGTTAGCAACACGCTGGTTTGAGCCCCGTGAGCTCACCTACGCACGTTAGGGCGAAGCTGAAATAGCCTCTCAAGGCTATCAGCATTATAAAAAAAATATGAAGTTTTACTGTGTTATTTTATTGACAAAATAACCAGAAGTATACAGGTCGTCGGATGGTTAGTGATCGCCGTCGCTAGTGGATATCATCTACGCTAGGAGCCTAAACTATCGCATTATAACTGTCCCACACTACAAAATGAAACGCATGACTGCTTCGCGACAAATAGACGAAGTTAGTTGTGTCTAACGGAACACACATTGTGATGATCACCGGCTGATTGGTCATCCACGCCGAACCGAGGACGTTTGAAGCTGAATAACTTAAGATTAAACGCAAAAGGCTTGCGTCCCTTCCCAAGGTCCAATCCCAAGGTTGTAAGTTTGCTTTTCGATTGTAAGTTAGATTTGGAGTTGTCCCTGATACTGTTCACGTTTGGCGGTCGTACTTTATATCAGTGAGGCAGTCTGCTTTAGTAAGAAATGAGAAACTCTGACTTTTTGGGAATACGAGGGGTGAAGTTGTAGGATTTGTTTTATTTTGTCTATTTAGTGTTTCTTCAGGTTTAAAATTGTAATAACGGTGGTTTATTAACTGTTTAATATCTGTGAAAGTGCACAAATGTGGGAAAATGAAACAAAGCCGCTGAACGTAACTTCTCGGGATCCTCCAAAAAGTCCACTGAAAAAATCTCAGTAAATGACCACCATTTTACTGAAATTATATTTCATCCCATATAATGTCTCAAATCAATCATCTTCATTTCATTTCATTTCACTCCTTATTATCATTTTTCATAAAAATAAGAATATAAATTACAATAAGACATGACTTAAAGGTCATAGTCGCCAGGTCATAAAATCCCTTAAAAAAAAAGAAACCCAATGAAAATTTGTACGTTTGTTTGTAGAGCGAGAGATTGGCAGCCCAGCCGCCCGCAGTGCCTCAACCTTCGCGGAAGGAGTTAGCCGACATACGTCGACACAACCTCGACGTGAGGGCGCAGGTGTACCGCGCCGTTAGACGACCCGGAAGAGGTAACATTACATTTTAATGATTATTTTTAACATTGATGAGTAACGAATAGAACATAACAGATAGTGGATTAAAAACACGATCATGCAGTTGGAACAGCGCCCCTAGCGGCAAACGTAGGCAAACGATCCCATTCCATACAAATAAATATGAGCTAACTTTTACGCTATCGAAAACGTTAAAAAACTCGCAATAGGCACACTGTTTTTTTTAGTTTTTGTGAAATATTTATCTCTAAAAATTATTCTCATATATTACGACACTTCTAGTATCTTAAATTCGTAGTTCCATTTGGTATATGACATAAAATATCGAATCCGAGGTAGATAGATGCCTGATGGCATTCATAAATATATATTCTTTGTATTGTATAATTTGCATTGAAAAGATATTAACATTATGAGCCAATATATATTACTGTAGATATGCATACATATATAACGATATATAACATTATATTTTCTTCTTTCTTAATTTCTGTATTTTTCTCTTAGTGAAGTACCTTTATTAATTTCATTGAAACTAAAAAGAAGAAAGTTTTTCGAAGTAGATTGTTTTCTAATAATTTTAGAAGTAGCTAATGACCAAATCTTTGTTTCAGATTTCACTAAACTGTTTGAGCACTTAAAACAATTGCAAGGTACTGTGGACATTAAAAAGGAAGTGTTACGTGATGTGATTAACGAATCCTTAAGGTTTAAAAGGAAGGCTCTAGCGAAATTACTGGAAGACTTCTTGGCCGGATTAGAGAAGAACGGAAGCAGCGCTTCCGGTACAATCAAGCGTTTGAACAACAGTGCGGTTTACAACAGTGGTGCGAATCATAGCTAGTGACGACAAAAAGTCGTGTGGACGTTCCATTAACGCGCCCTCGACGTACACTAATAGTCTGCTTAGAACGTTTGGAGCTCAAACATGATTAAAAGAATGAAACTGCTTTTGTTGCGGAACATTACCGTCGTCCTCGATTAATTAAAAAAAAAAAATGAATTTATCGTTTTTTTTAAAGAATGTCGCAGCCCTATTGCAATGGCGTGCCAATGTTACACAAAGCAACCGACCGACAATTGGAAGCTGGTTTTTTTTTTTTTTGTATGCTAACGGAACATTTTCAATCCACCAGATACTAAATGCTTACTTCATTGACATCTTGAACGGTACCAACGATCTTGAAACGTGTATGTAGTCGCTAACCCCAACCTTGAAACCAGAAAGTATGATTGCTTTCCGAGAGAAGCTGACAGGTTGGGGGTACTTTCTCATGCGTGCTCATAATATAAACTCCCATACCATCAGCAGTTAAGCAAACAAAATGAATTTCACGGGTTTTGATATTTTTAACATGATACTACTCCTTATTTGTGAAAACACATGTTAGAAACGGATTTATTATAGTTCTTTTTTTTATTTCGTTCTGTACGTCAGTTTCGTCACTTGATAATCGTGGACGAAGGGCCTTAATATATTTTTTTTGTTTTGTTGAATTACTTTTGATTGGTATTTTTAGGTCTCCATAATCCGCCTTTTGTTTGTCTTCGTAAGTCGGTATCTTGAAAATACATAAATTCTCATTTCACCGTTTCCTATACCAATGACAGAAGGGCATTTAATTGTATTTCGTTGTAAAAGTGATGACTGTATGCTTTTTATGTTTTTTTTTTAATACATAGTTTTTACAAATATGTTCTGCGTTTTCCTTTTCTCTGAATATATAGTTAGTCCTTTACGACAAAAATATCAGACAATTACCAATCGAAGAACTACTTAAGAAAAATAACGTTATGGAACCGTATTGTCAGTTGTCGTTTGAATAAAATACGCCTTCGAATCAATACATACCAAATGTTTTAATATTTAAAGAGATGTTAAAATAGTTTATATAATGACCACGAATGTCTTAAGTTTTATTTTAATTGGAAAGTTCGGTTATTCTTGAATTGTTTGTTTGTGTGACGTTTTCGTATCGATTTCATGTTGAACGTCTCTAGCGCGGGTACTTTGAAATAGACGAGCTAACTATAAAATTATTTCACTTTAATCGGAAGCATATTTTTAAAAGAATTTAAATATGTCAAAAGCAATATGCATTTTAAGGTGTTACGAAGGTGTCTTATATGTGCAAATCGTTGAATATTATTTGTAAATAAATAACTGTATGTACATATATTAGTTTTTAATGATTATTACCAATGAGAAATATAAGTAGGATGTTTATATGCATTGGGACCGTCAGCGGGGTCGGATGAATATTAGAATCTTCAATGAAATAGTTCAAATAGTAAATTTTGGTCGTTTTCTAGACCGATCTCTTAAAAGACGAATAAAATTGGCTTTATAAATTTACAATGAAATGTTTGATCCGACTGCGCTGACACTGTTCGGTCAATTGTAAAGTGTATTATAATATTTTTTAAAATAAATTATGATCCTTATTGGATTTATTTTGTTTGTTTTTTTTTATTCGAATTTTGACATTGACAGAATCTCATTAATCAAAATCACTTATTATTTATCATTTTTTTAAGGGATTTTATGACTAAGACTTCTAAGTTATATCTTATTATATTATAATTTATAATCTTATTTTTATGAAAAATGATAATAGGGAGTGAAATGCAATGAATATGATTAATTTGAGACATTAATCAACTGGGATGATAAAATGGTGGTCATTTTCTGAGATTTTTTTCAGTGGACTTTTTGGAGGATCCCGAGAAGCTATGTCCAGCGGCTTTTATTTTCCCACATTTGTGCACTTCCACAGATATTAAACAGTTAATAAACCACCGTTATTACACATTTAAACCCCAAGAAACACTAAATATACAAAATAAAACAAATCACACAACTTCACTCCTCGCGTTCCCGCCAAAAGTCCTTATTTATCATTATTTTATTCAGTCATATTACTACTTCCCGTTTTTCAAATGCTTTACAGTTATTTTCGTAGTCACGAAAGCATGGTGTACGTTTACGTAAAAGTAGTTTTAAATAGTCTACGACTGTAGAGATCCCAGGAATAAACTAGTATTTTATTAACCTTATATGGAATTGCAAGCGATCTGCTTGTACTCAAGTATTACGTAATGAATAGGATTTAAATATAATCAAAATAGTAATTTATGACTTTGTAGCCACATAGTCATATTATAAGTCCATAATGCAATAATAGTTCGTCAATGTTATAACTTTTTATTTATTGCTTAGATTGGTGGACGAGCTCACAGCCCACCTGGTGTTAAATGGTTACTGGAGCACATAAACATCTACAACGTAAATGCGCCACCCACCTTGATATTTAAGTTCTAAGGTCTCAGGATAGTTACAACGCTACCCCACCCTTCAAACTGAAACGCATTACTGCTTCACGGCAGAAATAGACGGGGTGGTGGTACCTACCCGTGCGGACTCACAAGAGGTTCTACCACCAGTAATTAGGCAAATTATAATTTTGCGGGTTTGATTTTTATTACACGATGTTATTCCTTCACCGTGGAAGTCAATCGTGAACATTTGTTGAGTACGTATTTCAGTAGAAAAATTGGTACCCGCCTGGGATTCGAACATCGGTGCATCGCTCAATACAAATGCACTGGACGTCTTATCCTTTTTAGGCCACGACGACTTCTCGAACTTCTCGACTTCTTAATTATATTATAATATACTTGGTGATGATATTAGTATTGTGCCTACTACTAGCTTTTTTTCTTTTTCGTTGACTTGTATAAATACAACACAATACGAAATACGTAGATGTAAGTGTATACCTAGTCTTGCCATAAATACTGAGACAAAAGGAAAAAAAAAATTTCTGTTGCAAATAACATTTATTACTTTTACAGTGAGTTAGTTTAATACATAAATATAAAACAATTTAAAGTATAAAAAGCTTATTCGAAGTGGTCTCCATTGGCTGCAATACAGTCCTTTAAACGTTGAGGCCAGTTATCAATAGAAGCACGCACTCTTTCCATGGGAAATTTTTTCACTGCCAATCGTACGGATTGTTTTAGGGACTCCAAATTATCATGGCGTTTAGAGCAAGCCGTACTCTCTAAAACTGACCATAAATCATAATCCAGCGGATTAAGATCGGGACTAGACGACGGCCAGTCTTCAGCTCTGATGAAGTCCGAAACGTTCGTTTCCAACCAAGACTGCGTAGACCGAGCTTTATGACCTGGCGNCTGCCAATCGTACGGATTGTTTTAGGGACTCCAAATTATCATGGCGTTTAGAGCAAGCCGTACTCTCTAAAACTGACCATAAATCATAATCCAGCGGATTAAGATCGGGACTAGACGACGGCCAGTCTTCAGCTCTGATGAAGTCCGAAACGTTCGTTTCCAACCAAGACTGCGTAGACCGAGCTTTATGACCTGGCGCCGAATCTTGCTGGAAGGACCATTCTTGATTATTGAACATGGTGTTGTTAAGGGGCTTCACTACCTTCTCAAGAATGGTATCTTGATACATTTGTGCCGATGTTTTGATACCTTTTTCACAAAAGTATGGCTCAGTCACTCCTTCATAGCTAATACCCCACCAAACCATCACTGAAGTCGGATAGTGCCCACGTTACACTGTGTCGACTAATTGGGAAGCTTCCTTAGAGCTTTGAGCATAAATACGGTCATTTTGTTTGTTAAAATGTTGCTCAATTGTAAAAATTTTCTCATCCGTAAACAAAACTTTTCTATGACCTCTCTTTGCGTACCGCTTCAGTAGTTGTTTCGATTTTACCACCCTATTCTCTTTTAAATTATCAGTTAAGAAATGACCAGTACGTCTCTTATAGGCTGCAAGTCCTAAGTCATCTTTTAAAATACGCGACATGGTTCTAGGTGCTATTTTCATCTCCCGAGATAAAATCTTTGCTTTCGGACAGGATTTCTTCGAATTCTTTCCCTTACTGCTTTGACCACCTTTTTCGTACGAACACTACGTGGACGGCCAGATCTTTTTCTGTCACAAACAGAGGAGGTCTCATTGCACTTATTAATAGCCCGGTACACAAACATTTTACTAATACCAAGCGTATGGAGAGTTTAAAAATTGCATTTGGCTCCATACCTACTTTGTGTAATGCAATCACAGCCATTCGGTTCTCTTTATCATCCCACTCCATTTTAATATCGCAAAGTATTGTACAATGTATTGGCGCCAAAATGAGAACTCAATGAGCAATCACATAAAAATGACAGATTCCAAATTCAAATGTAATATTTTGTTTATTTTTAGTTGTAACAGTATTTATGGCCAGACTAAGTATAGTAGATCAAGATTTTTGTATTCGTGTCATACGAATCATAATATATATTATACATATAATTAAAAGGAATAGATTAATTTCAACGTTGTTCATCGGCGACACAGATAATTGAGAAGCGTGTATTCTATAGAGGCACCGCCTTGGGAAATTGAGGGCGAGTGAATGGGCTGTAACAACACTGATAATGTAAACGCAAAATTGGATGCGCTGAGTCCAACCCCACATTAGATTCTATTTCAAATAAGTCGACCAGTTCGCGGTTTGTCGCAATACTAACCTTATCGGATTGTTTTAAATGATTTATTTCAAGTTATGAATCTAAACCATATTTGGAATTTCGAATCTCAAAAAAAAGAGCATTGTACAGCAATCTCATGTAATGCTTATGGTATAAATTTTAGATCTGTTTATTTTAAATTCTAAAAGCAGATAATACCCTGTAAAATACTTTACAATAGGAGCAAACGTCATTAAAATCTACGCACAGTATTTTTACAGTATTTTTCAAATAAATTTTGGATACATTTTATTTACCTACTGCTTTTTGCCATATAAAATAACATGCTTACAGTCTATCTCATGTTAAGTGTCTATCGGAGTCCTAGCAACCATAACTAGATTGATGATGCTTGAAACGTGAGCTTAAGTACTCAAATAAGATTATAATAAAGGCTATTTTAGAAAGATATTTTGGTAAAACGTAT